ATGGAGGATTGTTGGATTTCTATTGTGTGGAGTTCTGGGGAAAAGGAGGGGGTGAATTATTATAGAGAGATAAAGAAATGTGAAAGCACTCATCAACCGAGGGATTTAAGAACTGCCAAGGACTGGAGCATGAGACTTCTAAGGGCATTGATTGGGGCTGGGGTAGCACTGTTGGTGGGAGATTGGTACCCATCATGTGGATCTGGGGGGCTTGGATGTGCTTTTGAACGTTGGCTCTGTTATTTTAGAAGTTGGATTCATTAATAATTTTTTTTTTAAATAAAAAGAAGCAACCAAAAATTGTGAATCTACCACAACAGTTAACTGCTCAAGTGCTAAAAATAAAATCTTCTTTGCTACTTTAATTTATGATCAAATTCCAGCCATTTTATATTTGTGCCAAATAAATTGAGGAGCTAGTTACCAGTCTTTCCCGCACCGACACTTGTTGACTGTTAATCAAATCACCCCCATGCATCAGAACTTGACTGTAGGCCTTTCATCTGTGCCTTGTACAGTTAATACATTACCCATTTGATTATTTCCAGATTTACATATTTAATGACCTACTTAGCTCCTTTAGCCACAGTATTAGCTGACAGCTCGTGTTCACTTACAGATGGTTATTTATCATAATTCTAGTTTCTTTCTGGTAACTTCTTCCTACAATGTAGGTTATGATTCCAGTAAGTATGATCTCCATTCTTTGGTCCTAGACATACATTTCCATTTGGGCATATTAAAAAACAGTCCTTACTTGTCCAATATTAAAAGTTAATTACATTTTGTGGGGTACCAGGTCTTTGCCTCCTGGCTCATATATGGCTACATCAGCTGGTCTGAAGATCAGGCAGCTATAATCAATTCCCTGACTGAACCTCTTCCAGCTGTAAGGATCTAACTTAAAATACAACACATTTGAATCTGAAGGCTGCTCCTCTTCATACTCTCCTGGTCATTGCTAGAACAAGTATTACTTAGGCACAAGAATGCCCCAACCATGCAAACTCTTCTCTGGCAAGGAGGAAGCAGGAGAGCCATCAGCTTATTCTACAACACTGAAGGATACCTTGGTAGCTGCTGAAAAACATGAGAGACTGAACAACCCCCCCCACCCCAAGCTTTACCAGAAGAGGCAGCACATTAGTTAGTACCAGCTCCGCAGCACCTGTATAGATTGCAAGCTTCAGGGGGGCTTTTTGGCACTTTCATCTAAAACAGATTCAAACTAATGCAATGCCTCTAGGCATGTGGTGTGCCAAATTTAAAGTGGTTTTTTTTTGTTTTTTACACCTGTAAGCAGCCTTTAATACTTTGTCCCAGGGGCTCAGGATACAGCAGATATGGTGAAGAGCAATGGAGACACCCTGGTGGCAAGTCTTCAATGACTCTTGAAAAGGAGAGGGTTTAGTTCACTCAGGAAGATATTTAGGAAGGTGGAGAACATGATTTGGCTGGTGAAGAGAAAGCATAGTAAGACCAGGATAAATTGTTCAAATCCCCTTTCAAAGTAATCAATATTTGTTCATCCCAAGTAAGCGTAGGAAGGATGCCACCTGCCTTATACTGGAAGGATGGATTTCCTAGCAGGACAACAGCTGCAATTTTATTTTCTCAGTAGATAACGCGTAAAGGTTATGGGGGGTGATGTGAAGCAGGTGGGACTCCGCAATTTGTCAATCTATCTGTGGAGGAGCCAACTCAGTGGCCGAATCTCCGACTCCAAATCAAATCAGGAGACCCATTAGTGTCTCTGAACTGAATCGGAAGCCTCTGAATCGATTCAGAGAGATTCAATGATTCAGCCAAACACACAGCTTTGGACATCCAGATACGTAGAAAAAACGCAGTCTCAGCTCGTGAATGCTGAGATGGTGGGGTGGATGGAGCATCCCACAGGAGTGCAGGGGAGTCCACTCTGCGTTCAGCGGTGGACCCGAAAGTGGACCAGAAGTACTTCCGGTCCACTTCTGAGTCTGCCGTGGAGGATGCCGGGGGCACCCCTGTCCCCCAGCTCGGTGACTGATGCCTCCTGGGTCTGGGGGGCACCTAGGGTCCCCCCATGGCTGATTGCTGAGCTGGGAGAGGCATGGGTGTCCACTTCTGGGTCTGCCCCCAAGCACACAGGGGGCCCCCTCCCCCGCCACACTCCTCTTGGACGCTCCATCTGTCCCACCATCTCAGCATTCACAAACCGTGCCTGGTACCCTCAAGGTACATAGAAAAAAAAACAAAAACAAAACAAAACAAAAAAAAACATATAAAGCTGTGCCTATGGCCGAATCACCAATTCTCCAAATCAGAATCAAAGCTTCAGATTCAGATTTGGCCAAATCGAACCAGGACAATGATCTGAATCGGTGAATCGAATCACTATCCCCCAAACTGGGCCAAATCCAAATCAAATACTGCCTGCTTCGCACACGCCTAGTAAGTAGTACTTTCTAGGCCATCAGCTCAAAAGTCAATCATCCTGAATAGATCATGAAATAGGACAGCATAGAAAGGATGATAGTTTTGACTGAAGTCAAAACTCCTAGCGTGGCTGGAATATCTACAGCAGGGGTGTCAAACTCATCTGCCCCACAGATGAGAAGCACGAGGCTGGCCCCTTAGTCAGATCAGGCCCATGGACCTCCTTCCCTTCCTCAGCATACCCAATTTAGCAGCTGCTGCAGCTGGTCTGGGACCTATGCTGCATGCAGTGCAGATCTTTGTGGGGCTAGAACAGGCACTGCGTGTGGTGCAGTCCAGCTGCACAGGGACCTGCACTGCACATGGTACTTGTGAGTGCGACACATGGCACAGGTCCCAGACCAACTGGAGCAGACACCGTGTATGAGTCTGGCTGGGGCAGTCACTGCATGTAGTATGGCTGCTGTTCTGGCCAGATTATACTGCCATTTCAGGGATCCACACTGCACATTGCTGAAGTCACAAATGGTTGGAGCAGCCACTGGATTAGGTATGCTGGGAAGACAGAAGGGGAAAGGGACCCATGCCCCATGTGTAGGTCTGATCTGCTCTGATCCAGGGGCAGCCAGACTGAGCCCAAGGGCTGTGTATTTGACACCCCTGGTATGCAGTAGGGCTCTGCAACTGTTTGGGTTCTGATTCAATTCAGAAGAGATTTGGTGGCTGAATCTCCAAATCGGAAGACCAATTGATCGGAAGGTCTGATTCAATTCAAAGCTCTCCAAACGGATTTAGAAAAGATTCGGAGATTCGGGCAGTTCCCCACACACCACTGCAGGGAGCTGGAGCTGGACTCTATGTTGGTAAGTAAGGGGTGGGGGTCTAGAGGTGAGAGGGGACCATGGGGGGACCTCTGCCAGGCCTCATCTCCTGCCCCCCTGAGCACTACCCACTCCCCCCGACCCAGTGTCCCAGCTCTTTAAAAAAAAAAAAAGCAAAAAATAAAGCCCTGCACTCACCAACTGCTGCACCAATCACTGGGGCTTCTGGGGGCTCATTGCAGAGCCCCCCCCCCACACATAGCACAGGACAGTGGGGATCCCCACCCCCGGCAGTAGACTGAGCGCAGGTGTTTCTTTTTTGTTTTTTTTTGTTTTGTTTTGTTTTTTTTTTTTTAAAGAAAGCCAGGCCAGGTGGGGCCTGTTTGATTTGAAGATTCAGCTGATTTGGCAGTGGCCAAATCTCCAAATCTGATTCAGGACGGTAATTCAAATCACCAAATTGAATCAATCAATGTCCCCCAAAATCAGCTGAATCCGAAGTGAATACTAGCCACTTCGCACAGGCCTAGTATACAGGTATTTCTTGATGCTCACTGAAAGTTTCTCTGTGTTTTTGCCACAATGAAAGTTTTTGGTGACTCGAAATAAAATCTTGTCTTGAATTTCTTTGTAGTAGAGTCCTGTACAGTACAGAAGCCTCAAGCAGATCTGCTTATAATTAGCTGCAATTGAAGTTGGCATGTTTATGATCCAACTCCATTTAAACTCAAAACTATAAGATGTTATGTATTTCTACATCCCCAGCTGTTATGAATCCCTATTCAAATTTTCCAAAAAACAGACTTTTTTTAAACTGTTAAAAACTTTAAACACAAGTAAAAATCTAAGTTACCCCCACTTAAAAAAAAAAAAAAAGCCCAAACACTTAATTGTTCTTAGTTTGTACTTTGCTTATTGCCACAATACAGTTTAATAAGCAGTGGCTTTTAGAATTTTTGTGCGTTTAAACAGTCCTTATATATCAGGGAAGAATGCTTTTGCAAGTCACAAAACCAGTTATTTGGCTGAATTAAAATCGTATTAGTACAAGACTGACTGTTACTGATCAATCAATCGGTTTATGCTGAATCATTCACAAAGTTTTTTTTTAAAGTTTAGTTTCACATAAAAATCAAAAAGATTTCATAAAAAGGTGTGTATTGCAAACACAATGAATATGAAGAGTATTGTCAATGCTATTAACTATATTTCTTATACTTTAGAAATTTGTCCATGGCAGGAGGCATGATTTTGGGATCAGCAATCAGACTTCAATTCTACCCTTTCTACTTGCTCGTGCAGCCAGCCACTACACTGGCAAGTTGAAAACCTAGTGCCCATAAGTCTGGTGCTGACAGTCAGCTAATTATCAATCCCTGGCCCTGACCTGGTATAAAATTCAAATTTAAGGTGCCACACAAATCAGCCATAAAGTGTTCTGCATTATTTGTAAAACATTTTTATGGTTGGTTTGCCATTTTTGCAGTGCCTTAAAATTGCATGCGTGCGTAGCACCCTTGCCATTGATGCTGCAATTAACTTGCTAATCATGGTATAAATGTAACGTGGTGGTAGACAGAGGTGTGACATTTACTATTCCAGGTGTGAACTTGGAATGCAAATGTCATCCTACAGTGTTTCATATGTAGTGTCCAAAGCAATTAACTACTGCTTTTGTATTCTTTTCTGTTTTTTACTAATAACTTTATTTAAATAAGACACAAGAACTTCTATACTGAAAAAATACAAAACAAAAACCACACATTTCCTTGTGTAAAGCAATATTGTGTGATAACTTGAATACTGTTCAGCACAGTGGCTAGAAATAACAGTACAACTATGTACAAAACTTTAAACAATATTTGACAACTTTCTACAGCTGCATTTAGGATACAATTGAGATCAACTGCTGGGAAATTTACATGGCAAAGCATTAGCTTCAACACATTTGGTTCAAAACCTTCAAATATGCTAAGAACAAATGTGTAATATAATTAATATTTAGTTTCTCATGGGAAAACAAAATGAACATGGAATGTCATTGTAAATATTGTACGTCAGAGTTCATTGCTGATCTAAAAACCACTTATTGTATCTGTCTGGTATCTTAACACCAACAACTGAAACTAGTTTCATATTTGGACACAACCAAAGCATAAAAGGTTGTCATACTGCAATGTTAAAACTAGAAGGTAAAAGGTTACGAGCAATTTTTATATACGTCACAGAACAAGTATTTTTTTCCCTTTAACTTCAATCTACAAAATATATAGTGTTTTCACCAAGGCCTGAGATTAGTAAGGTTAAAGATGGCTGTTGCTGTGTGAGTGTTTCCAAGTTTCTTCATGAAAAAAAAAGGTCAAATAAAGGAGGACCTTTCTCATTTCACTCCTTCACCTCTACACCTTACAGTCACAACCCTGACCATTTTAGACAGTGTAGGCTTACACCTTGTAACAGAACATTACCAAAGCCTTTAGTAATAAGATGAGAATTGGGCTGCTTTGTTTCAAAAGAATACACAAGTGCAGTATATATTTCCCCATATTTCCTCAGTAGTTATTGGTGGTGCTTTCTTACTCTTTTCCCCAACTCTTCCTCAAACGGGAGAAACAAAACAAAACACAAACCAACCAACAATGGAGTGAGTTTGTGAGCTGCAGTAGCTGAAGGCTGCTTATCTTGCTTCAGTTCCTGGTAAGACTGCACCATAGCTTTTTATAACACACAACATAAGCCTAATTCCACTGATCTGAAAACAATGGAGTAAGAATATCAAGTTTATTGAGCCTTTGGGGTCCTCATGTATCACAGAAAATGAGCTCTGAAATCAATGGTCTTGAAGTTCCAGTACAATAAAAGGACTAATACTAAACTGTTGACTGCCATGTACTATTTTAAGAAAGTGTCCAGCCTACAGACCCAAGACAATCTTACCAGGCCTTCCAACCCCGCTTTCAACCGCAAAAACGTTATACATAATAACCTAAGTAACTGAGGGTGCTATGAGATGCTTTGATTAGGTAACGTGGATGTAAAACTATTATTCCCCTCTTTCAAACATCCATTTGCTACTTTGGTATTTTTAATAGATGTTTAATCCCAAAGTACAATTATTCACTAATTATACAAATAAAACGCTGCTCATCTAAACACGGATAAAACCTGAAAACTTATTCTCCAACCAGCAAATGAATGAACATTTCCAAAAGAGAAACTAAACATTAATTCAACGTTTAGATGGTAACAGTAGCATTTCACATCCTGAACTGCCAACACGAACATGAAAGGAAATCCCCATCACCCCCTGTGAAACCTGAAAGAATTTTCTGAAGTTAAACAAACAAAAGAAAAAAACATTCTTGTCATTTAAGATCCCTTCACATACAACGTGGAATGTTTCTTATGTACAGCCTAGTACTGAACACTTTAATTGCAACAGCTTAACAGTCATTAACTGAGCAACACCTGAAACCTTTTATATGCCACATTTCACATATATTGAAATGACGATAAATGCAACAGTTGTTTTACTTGTAACCACATGAGAAAGTGATGTACATCACAGATTTGCTGGTTCTCCTCATGTTCACCCACGTCCAGGGTAATCATTCTCCTGGATTTGAAAGCACTTATTCCAAGAAAGTGGAATGTAATGAGGAAATATTAATGCATAAAATAAGGAAAGGCAAAAGAGTGATGTTCCCTCTTTAGATTTTTAGCTGTAAAATATTTTATATCCCAATATGATATACATTCCAAGTTACCTGAGTTTAGACTTCGAGAGAAGTACCTGAAGCTAGGCCATAGGGTGGGCACTGTGCAACTGTTGTGGCCATTTTTTTTTGCATTGTATGTATTACAGAAGTTAGAAACAAACACCTGGATCAATTGTAAACATAATCCTGAAGTACAGTATTTTCCATAGGACACAACACAGCAAGACATTTTCTATTCAGACAGGCAACTTTTTTTTTGATATAGAGCTTATTTATACTGTAGAATCTGAAACAGAACACAGGACACAGTACTAATCTGGTCAAACATACTATGAAATGCATAGTCTCCACTTAAAATGCTTAATGATACATGAGTTCTGCAGGCATTACTGCTTTTTCACAGAAAAAAAGAAAAACAAAACCAAAGAACGCTATGAGTTCTGTCCCTGCCAACAACAGTGTTTAGATATTTTTAAGATGCTGATAAGTATTTTGTTTTGTTCTGAAAAAGGTTGCCACTCCATGCAGATGTATTTGAGCTATCCCCAATCCTTGTTTAAGGGCAGAGGCCTGCTCCACCATGATCTAAATTAACGCATAGCTTTGAGGAGAGGAGTGTTCTTCAGTCTGAAGGTCCTGCAAAAGCGGTTGCTGCTGTTGGGATGGCTGTTGTACTGAGACCTCTGTACAGTCCATTGTGCTGGTGTCATCTGACAGAGATGAGAAAGAGACCCGAGATGAAAGCTGCTCAACAGTCAGAGTGCTCAAAGCTGTGCTTTGACCAGAACTTGGAGAGTTCTTGAGCGTCAGGTCAGAAGCAGGTAGTAGGGGACCCAGAAGTTTTACAGGACAGAAAGCTGATCCGGTCGGGATGAAATTAACCTTGTTTTTGTCAGGGCATGAAAAGAGAGGGGCTGAGACAGGCTGACGAGACCTACAACAGGAAAAAAAAGGTTATATACCTGAACAGCTGGAAGTTTAATATGAGATTGTTTCTACAAGTTACTAAAATGTAAATGACAAGGAATGGGATTAAGATCAGACACAGGGGGCAAACATCTTCCATACTGGTAGTCAGCTGACCATCTGATCCACAGCATTAATCTAGTAGTATGACCTGATAACCAGTGGGCAACATGCAACTCTCAGAAATAAAGTCTGCAGTGTGTATGCACATGGACAAATGTCACATGATAGCTTATAATGATGCAATTAAAAAATATTTCACAACAGCATTGAAACAGCAGCATATTTATGAGTATCAAATCCCTCTGAAACTCAAAAATTCTCCATTGCCAAGCTCCATATATTGACTCCAAGACTGCTTCTACAATTCAAGAAGGTTGTTACTTATCCTTTCAGCAAGGAATCACATTAGAACTAGAACACTCCCTGCCTGTCTTTCTTCTATCCACAGGAGCTAAGCATGCAACCTGTACAGTACGCTCACAGTAGTCAAGTGAAGGGGGGAAAAAAAGGCAAAGTCCAAAACTTTTAAAATCTTGATATCTTGCCCAACAGCTCACAGCAGTACCTCAAAAATACTGGGAAACCCTATACTGCAAGTCTGCTACATTTTACAGATGCACACATTTCTCTTCCAATAAGTAAACATTTTATACATGCCAAATATATCCATACTGACAAAAGTTATGCTACTCATGGCTTTTTCTTTTAAGCCATGAACCCACAGAAAACAGACAGCATTATAAAAAATAATGAACACAATTAAAGTAGTTGAATTTTCCTGCTTGCTGTTTATAAATGCATTAAAAAGTTCAAAGTAAAAAATACTCTATTTCCCTTCAAGCCAACGCAAACACTTTGACTTCTTGTCCATTCAAACTCTCTAAGAATACTTTGCTCCTGGAAAAAAAAAAAAACAACCTCATCAGCTGGAGTAGTTTATTCATCTGCAGTTAAATGGGTTCAGTAAAATGGTTTACTGCTTTGCAGATACCAGCTGATATAAAAGGCATTACTTACGACATTTCCTCAAAGACCTTCACTCGCTCACATCCCTCTGGGGGCTCTCGTTTGAACATGTAGCTGTTGTTTGGTTTGGGAGATGAGGCATACTTGGGCAACGGTGAGCTACTCCCACTGTCTGAAAATTTAAAGCAGTTATATTACTAGTGATTGAGAGCGCTTTTTAATTAAATTTGATTTCCAAACAAGATGCCTTTTTTCCACAATTTAGCCACTAATTCCAGTTTGCTTCTATCACAATGCTTCCTTTATTGCAGGCCATTTCTAACACCCTTGTATAGCACATTTCCTCTGAATAAAAGCTTTAGTGCAGCAGTAATCTACCATACAGCAGCACATAATAGAAGGATATTTTTATCCAGAACACTGCAGATTGAATAAAGCAGAACTGTAATCCTGGAAACAAATAAGTTCTTTATTATGCATTTCAAAAAACGTAAATGAGCAGGATAATATGTAGAACACATGCAGAAGACTTATGAATGGTTATGATAATAAAGTTCTCTATGCCTTCTGATTGCATAAACATTATAATTGGAAGCGTGTGTACATAGCATATACTTTATTAAAAACAGTCTTTAGCAGAAATGTTACCCTCACTGGCCTCATGAATAGCACTGGCATTAAAAGGAAACAAAACAGGCACTTCCTTCCTGATACCTCCTTCCTAGCCATGGGTATCAACTGCCATACTATTTAGTTTTTCAAATATCTGTAACAAATGAAGGTGTCCATCATATTCTCTCTCATCACACTGAACCATATGACAGAGGTGTCTTCTTTAGCTACTTGTTCTCTTCACAATCAATATGCTGCTCTTCCCAAAAGCACACAGCAGCTTATAATAAAAAGGAAGTCTCTCACATTTTAGTATTCTACCTACTTTTAAGATACAAAATAAAACCCCCCATAAACCATATCCCAAGTTAGTTTTGCTTACTTAATACCTTCTCAGATAAGGTTGTCTTACAGTGTTTCAGGAAGATGTCCAGGCTTGAGGAAAGAGTCAGATCTCCACGGAAAGAGCTACAAAGTTAAGGGGCAACTACTGACAATTTCCCATGTGTTTTTAGCAACTTGAACTCGGTACACTAATGGTACTTGCAGGAGGCTGATCTTGGCGATGTAAGGGTGAAGGCAGCCCCTCAAGGTACACAGGGCCCAGACCGTCTTGGACCTTTCAGGTCAGAACTAGCACTTTCAACTGTGGCCAGAAAGCTACCGGAAGCCACGTCATCGACTATATTTGAAGTGGTCAATAGAACTATTGGGTGTTAGCTCTCAGGTGGAAAATTTAGCTCCTAGGATACTGTACAGGTTGCTCTTCATTGTCTCTGCCTCCCATTTGCCAGAACACACTCAGACTGAAATGTACAGTTGGCATTATAAAAGCTCAATAAATGGGAGTTACATGTTTTCCTTTAGTCCAAATTAAAAAAAAAGATTTTTCTCATCATTACAATTTAAACATTTATGAAGAAAATAGGCATTCGTTAGTCAAATGATTTACAATAGAATTTGAGTGCATTTTTGGGACAAAACCTACCCTTCTAAACCAATGTGCACTTTTGCCATGGAGGCAGAGGTTAGAAACTCAAGCCATGGACAGAGGTGCATTTATCTGGGGGCCAGGGAGGGGGGTTAAACTTATCTTCCCCTGAGTGCAGAGCTGTCCTGCCCTGCTAAAAGCTTACTGCTGGCTGTACCTGTGGACTACAAATCCGAAGACACCTGGAAGCAGGAAGAGGAAGTGATGAGCAACCCTGCAGCATCCTGCTGCTGTGATTCTAGACTGCAAATCCAAGACGACCTCAGGGGCAGCAGGAAGAGGAAGCAAAGACACAGCCCATGCTGGCTATGTGCCAGAGAGCCGTGCTCTAGTGCCCTCAGCTTCTGGCCTGAGCCACTGCAGGCATGTGGCCACATTTCCTGAATCAAAAGTGAATGTCTTTCCAGTTGTTTATAAGTTTAATCTCTGCAGCTTAGACTAACCTGCAAAGACTGAACTGATTCAGTCTTGGGCATTTTTACTGTCTGTACTTAGTCATGGTGACCAGAGCTACAACACATGGTCCCACCTTGGCTGCAGCTCTGCTCATTGGGGGTGGCAAGCCAGCTCCCACATTGACAGACAGCTTAGTCCTAAGGGAAGCAGGCAGGATGTGCTCCCCCAGGGCTGCACTCAATAACTACCAAACCTGATCTCCCCCCACCCTTCCCCTTTGGAGGGGGCAGAATGGGGAGAGCAGAGCACTATGGCAGTGTGGGGGATCAAGATTTCCTGCAGCACAACTCCATGCTGGACAGATGTCATATGCAGCACTATAAAGCATAACAATGCTATAGAAAATATTCCTGCATCACCTAGGCACATTACTGTAGTTCTTCTGTCACTTTTGTAATGCTACAGAGGATGCTCATGTACATTCCCTCAATTTCTGTAGTGCTACAAAGGTAACGTAGCATAATTTCCACCCAGGTTCACCTGGAACTTCAAATACTGACTTTTTTTTTTTTTTTTTTTTAAAAAACTTCAAAGTTTCTTTTTTTTTTCTACCTTTTTGAACCCCCCGCCATTTTTTTCTTTTTAAAATCCAATT